GAGGCCAGCTATATATATTGATATATATTGATATATATCACAGTAATGATGTATTTTATCGTCTCTCATGCAATTTACAAACTTAAAAATAGGAGGTGAAAGGGCCTCATAAGTGGAATAGCTCTTTTCATCTAAATCCGTCACTGCATATGCATGATGCGCATGTGTGCGCGCCTGTCGCACAAGTGCATGTGGTGACTCTGGGGGCATTCCAACTGTACCGGTTGGAACGCAATCCGGAACCCACCACTGTAGGAGTGGGTTATACTGTGTGGTTATTACTTCCAAATCTAGAAGAAGCTGTGACCGAACCCAGCTGGAGCAGGGACAGAGCGATACAGAAATTTCATGAAAACACTCAGTCTGCAGAGAAAGCAAATATTTACCAAAATACATCTTCAACTTTGGTTCATTATTCTAAAAAACAAACACATACTTCAAGCTTCACCCTGCACCAGAAGCCCTAGAGAAATGGCCAAATTAGCAAATCAGATGTGTTCTGCAAATGGATTTACCTCAATGCCCCCCCCACCCCTTCCAAGACCATCCTGGCAGTTCTACTCCTTGATGTACAGAGCATGCTGACAATGCAGCTGGTTTTGCCTCCAATGGGGACCAATTAGAGAATGCACTGAATAATTGATCAAAATGCACATTCTATAAAGAATGGATACAAACCAATCTTCAGACTTCATTCCTCCAGAGTAATATTGGAGGCTAAGACTTTGTTTAAAGTTCACCACTTCTTTCTGCAATTGGATTTTTATGCTATTACAACACAACATCTATTTGGTGGGCTTTATTCAGGCTGATAATGAAGACGATTACTGGGAGGAGATAGAAGGTCTGATGAACTGGTATAACAAAAACGGCCTGGTTTTAAATGTAGGAGAAACAAAAGAGACGACTGTTGATTTCAGAAAAGGCAGGCATAGCCATATACCTCTGGGTATTAATAATCCAGGTAGTTAGTGGTATCAAATTTCTGGCAGTGCAGCTGACCAGCAGCTTAGCTTGGTCACTCAACACTGGTGAAGTGGGCACAGTAGCACCCAGGGATGGGCTTCAAAATTTTTAGCAAGGGGTTCTCTGCCCAGTTGCTTGGGGGGGGGGGCATGGCCATCATGGGTGTGGCCTTGTCACCCTTCTGCACCATGGCCGTGGAGGGGGGGTTTGCTTTCCTTGGGCTCCGGAGGCTTTCTTTGAATGTCTGGGAGGGCTAAAATGGCCTCCCCAGGCTTCTGAGGCCCTCTGGTTCCAGCCTTTCCAAACTTCCAGTAGGCCCATTTTTTGCCCTCCCCAAGCCTCCACACGTGCCCTGCACTTACTTGCATCCAAAATGGGTTGCTTGGGGACTTATGGGAGGCGCGGGCAGACCAGGAGTGAGATTTGGGGGTTCTCAGAACTGCACAAAATCTAAGAGGTTCTCCTGAACCCCTGTGAACCCCCAGCAGCCCACTCCTGGCACCTCATTTTCTGCATCATATGAGAAGAGCACATCTTCCTTCTCCTGTATTTATCTCTTTCTATAGATGGATGATTAAAAGCATCCTGTCATACCGTGTTTCCCCAAAAATAAGACAGGGTCTTATTTTCCTTTGACCCCCCCCCAAAAAAAAATAAGCACTTGCCCTTATTTTGGGGGAAGTCTTATTATTTTTGAGGTGCAGGAGGCGGAGAGCAGGATCACCTCATGGCTGCTGCTGTGTTGCAATATTTTCAGGGAGGGCTTATTTTCTGGGGAGGGCTTATTTTAGTGCATGTGCTCAAAAGCCCGATTGGGCTTATAATCTGAGGGGGTCTTATTTTCAGGGAAACAGGGTAGTACTGTGTGGTTTGGAGATATTACTGTTTCAGACAGGAAGAGAGTGGTGAAGACAGCAGAAAAGATTGTCAGAAATTCACTTCCTTCTGTCCAGGACATGGCATCTAAGCACTGCTTGACAAGAGTCTGCAGTATTGCCAGAGATGCTGCACATCCTCTCCATGACTGGATTTTCTTTGCTACCTTCTGGGAGGAGGTTTTGTGCATATCCGAAGCAGAACATCCAGATTCTGAAAGAACCTTTATACCATATAATATCAACCTTATTAACTCTCAAAACTCTGTTTTCTGCTCTGTATTCAAAATGGACTGATTAGTGTGTGTGTGTGTGTGTGTAGCATATGTATGTGCATGTGTATGTATGGGTATGAGGTCTCTTTTGAGAGTTGGCATAAAAATTTCATTTTTTAATGTGTGCCGGTGTGTTCACACAACAAAAAGTGACAATACAGATTGTCTTGCATTATTTTTCACCTGCAGAGTTTACTTTTGAGAGAAGCCAGAAGTGAGTGGCTGGACCCTTAGGAGGAAAAATTAAGTGGGAAAGGTACACACCTTACTCTTTTCTTGCTGAAGCTCAATTTGAATGTCTGTGAGCTTCGCCCTGAGCTCTTCATTAGCAGCTTGCAAGGCGGCCAAAGCGTCCGGTTTTTCTCCTTTAGCTCGAAAGCTGGCACCCTTCTTTGACATCGTGAGACGGTCTGGCGAGAGGGATAAAGGCCCAGGCAGAAAGAACCTTCCGTTCTCATCTAGTCCTTGATTCTCTTCCACGACATGGTTCCAGCGCCCTGCATGAATAGAAATAGCAACAGCCCTTAGACCTCTGTCCCGCTTTACATCCCTCTCTAAGCGATTTACAAAGTCAGAATATTTCCTCCAACAATCTGGCTCCTCATTTTACCCATCAGCCTTCCAGAAGGACGGAAGGCTGAGTCAACCTTCAGCCTGGTGAGATTCGATCTGCCAAATTGCAGCCAGTCAGCAGAAGTATCCTGCAGTACTGCACTCTCACCACTGCGCCACCGCAGCTCTTATAACCACTGTGGTGAGATTTGAGATTTTTTGAGACTGTTTCTAGCATGCACTGAGCTTAAAGGAACAAAAAGGATTGAGGGGAAAAAACCACACTCAGAGTGGGATCAAACATCTTCACTACACTATTGATCAGAAATGCCAGGTGGTCTCCCAACAAAGTTTTTGCAAGTATTAAAAGGCTATAGCAAGCTAAAGGCTGTAACTGGGGGAATTTGCAGGAATTTGGAATGGTATTTTTGGTATTTTTCTGGGATTTTAAACAGGGCCATCCAAAGCCCTGTGAATTTGTTTGCCTCATTGACAGCCATTTTAGCAAACTCCACTTCTGTATGATTTATTTTAGGGCTGTTCAGAGCTTCAGATCCAAAGGGAGGAAACAGTGGTTGGGAGCAAGCATAAGTGTTTATGAAGCACCCACCAAAAACTCCTGGCAAAGTTTTCTTTTGATGGAAGAGTTCAGCTGCCCTTCATGGCTGTCCTCTCTCTGATGCTAAAAGAAAGAAAGAAAAAAAGATGGCACCCCTGCCAACAGGAACTGCTGATGCCAGGGGTGGTTCTGGCTGCTGCTACTGCCAGTGCGCTCACGGGCTTTGTGTGCTATGCACGCATTTGCGGTACTAAAAAAAAAATGCTTCTGCACATGCACAGAAGCAAAAAACAAGATTCAGGGTGGTGGAAGGCCAAGTTACTACTTACTCAGCCAATCCGATCCGAAGCAGAAGGGACCCACCTCTGGCTGGTGGCTGCTATGGGCACATTATCCCTTCAGATCCAAAGGACTGTCCATCCTTAATTTATAATTAATTAAGTTCCAATACAAAACCAATATAATATTGAAATCTGTCACCACTTGGTTTTATAATCTACAAAGCGATTTTATTCTGAGTCTCATAGTGATTTGAGCACAGGATGCAACCGAAATATTCTCACATAGAAATAGGGAGGAGGAGGACTTAAACTTTCATACGCTCCTCCCTTTTTGATCTCTGGCTGCTGCTGAAAAATTGAATTTTTATCTTATATTTCATATTATACACAACTTATCTTGAACTTGGACACAGTGTACTTGACAAAAGAGTTATTGTTATTGTTGCTGTTTAAAAATCTTAGATTTGTTAAAATATTTGACAAAACAAGGATCTTCAATTCCTTATTTCAGTCCTTAAAATGTGTGCATCAAATTGATTTATAAACAACAGTACTCCTAAAGATTAAGTTTGGGACTTTTAGTCTCATAAGCTTTGATAATAATGTCTGGTTTAGTTGTTTTGAAGCTGAAGGTCCCAATGTCGCAAACAGAAACCTCAATAAATGTTGTAGTTATAAATCTTGCCAGGGGGTGGCAAAAGACAAATGATATTTATCATTGAATGGAGAAAATGATTAAAAACTCATTGCTATCATCCAACAATTGACCAAACATAGAAACCCCAGCATCCATCCAGATCTTATGTAAACAGAGTTTTTAAGATCAGTTTCAAGGTTTGGACGATCCTTTAACTTCAATGCATGAAAAAGCAAGCTTGAAGACAGAATCAAAATGCAAACAGAAAAAATATACCACAATATTAATATTAATTTAACAGTTGCGGTATATAATAAAGTTTGCTTCTTCCTTGGCAGATCATGATCTTCAGTGAAGTTGCAACGGATGGGTTTCTATTCTTTTCTTTCCATCTTGGTTGTTCTGCTTAATTATTTCATTAATAAGACATAATAATTATATTACAAAGTAGCATTCTTCCAAAAACCCTACACCGATTTCTATGAAATTTGACACTCTTTTTAAAGCTGTAGTTTCCCCTCAAAAGTTATATAGCTGTTGTTGTTTTTTTTAAAAAAAGAATTCCTACATTAGAATATAAAAAATGTAGCTTCACTGTTTCCTTTTTTTTCTTGCCTGCACAACATATGAAATACAGGTTGCCTTCGACCGTTACAGCACTGGAAAAAGTGTCTTACAACCAGTGGTGGGATTCAAATAATTTAACAACTGGTTCTCCCAGGGTCATGTTGGCTGTGGTGGAGATATGGCCCAGCCCTGTTCTCCAGCTGTGCTGCACATGTGGGATGAGCCTCCCATGATGACCAACCTGACCTTGGAAAAACCAGTTGTTCAGTTTCCACCCTTTGCCAAAAGGCTGTTTTGGCCTTCTGGACGTAGCTCCTTTAAGAGGTGAGCTTTGAGAGGAAAGACGAGGAGCAGAGAGACAAGGAGTGGGGAAGGTGGAGAATTGGGGGGGGGGGAAGCAGAGGAAGGGATTCCCCCCTTCCCGTGGAGCTGAGTGCTGGGGGTATCGGTCAGTCTGCGGGCAAAAGTGAGAGGGGCAATTAAGTTGGCAGCACAATTGAAGACAGGCCCAATGTAGGGGAGGCTGAGGGGTTACGGTAGTTTGGCCAGGCAAATTATCACCACCCTCAAAGCAAATCTGTAATGCTGCGCTATCCCAAGGATTAAGATAGATTTTTTTGGACATTTTTATGTTTACTGCCGTTTGTCCTAATTAAATTTAAGGTTAAAATTAAATATTAATAATTTAAGGCTGAATACGATGGAGGAGAAAGCGTGGGAACGGGGAGGAATTGTATTATGGACAGGATTTTAAAGAGCATAGTTTTTCTCTGAATATCTATGCTTCTCGCTCTGAGTATTCCCCTTTCCCACAACCACTAGGAGTCACCCACATGTTCCCAAAACCTGACATGCTGTTATCAAACCCCGACATGTTGCACATCTGTGGTGAAAAGGTTATAGTAGTGGTGGTGAACCCATAGCACAGGTGCCAGAGGCAGAACTCAGAGCCCTCTCTGAGCCCACATGCACCGTTACCCCAGCTCAGCTCCACCATGTCTCTCTGTGGCCTTTCTCAACATTGTTTGCAGGGAAACAGAAACTCGCGAAAGAAAAAGATTTTGCCGCTTGTAGAACTGCTGGTGTTGGAATGGCCCACCTCTAAAGGCCACTCAGGTCAAAGGAAGTCTTCTTCAGTAAAGATCCTATTATCACCTCCTTTAGGATTTCCCTTGGGAAAAACATCCTTTCTAAAAAAAAAGCGGCGGTATTTATCCTCCTTAGCCAAGGGGTCAAAAAAGTGTTTGATTTAATCAGCATCAAGAGGTCAACTGCAGAGGTTGTGATACTCATTTCCTCAGATACCCAATTCGTACCATCAAGATCAGCTGAAAGGAATTAAAAAAATGTTAATTGATTGCTGAGGTTCTGCTTCTTTGACATACCAAAGCTCTAAAGTTCACCTTGAGGCCAGACTGATCAACTCTGTCTGCAACTTGCTCATATTCCAGGTAGTCTTTGACTTATGACCACAATTGACCCCAGAATTTCCACTGATAAATGAGACATTTGACATTAACATTTGTTAAGTGAATTTTGCCCCATTTTACAAACTTTCTTGCCACATTCGTTAAGTGAATCATGGCAGTTGTTAAGTTAGGAACATGGTTGTTAAGTGAATCTGGCTTCCCCACTGACTTTGTTTGTCAGAAGGCTGCAAAATGAGATCTCCCTAGAACCGTCATAAATATGAACCAGTTGCCAAGCGTCAGAATTTTGTTCACGTGACCGTGGGAGTGCTGCAATGGTCTTAAGTGTGAAAAATGGTCATAAGTCACTTTACTCAGTGCCATTACAATTTTGAACTGTCACTAAATGAACTGTTGTAAATCAGGGCCAATGGTGGGTTCCTACCGGTTCGGACTGGTTTGGCCGAACTGGTAATGGTTGCTGGAACCGGCAGCTGGAACTGGCAGCGACCCAGGCCTTCCATGCCCCAAACTGGTTCCATAGGCACTGCCATCTTGTTTTTCACTTTTGCGCATGCACGGAAGAATTTTAATTGCATTGTGCATGTGCGCGCACACGCAGAGTGCACACACGAGCGAACCAGTAGTAGTGCTTGCTGGAACCCACTCCCGTCAGGGGCTACTTATATATCGTAATCTAGAGTCAGTTTCCTGACACTAAATCCTTGGAGAAGAAATAGCAATAGCAATAGCAGTTAGACTTATATACCGCTTCATAGGGCTTTCAGCCCTCTCTAAACGGTTTACAGAGTCAGCATATCGCCCCCAACAACAATCCGGGTCCTCATTTCACCCACCTCGGAAGGATGGAAGGATGAGTCAACCTTGAGCCAATGAGATTTGAACCGCCGAACTGCAGATAGCAGTCAGTTGAAGTGGCCTGCAGTACTGCACTCTAACCACTGAGCCACCTCGGTAGTTCATAGTATGGAAAAATGATACTGGCCTCTTCCATGGAGATGGGATAGAGGGGCAGGGAAGTCAGTAACGCCTCTTAGGGCTACTAATGTTGCGTAGAATTTCAAATGAGTCCTTTTTCTATATGCAATCGGATCATGATTTCTTTGAAGTTTTCCCAATGTCAGAATTTCTCAGTGCCCGAAAAACCCATTCTTACAGCCTAGCATCAAAAGAAAAAAAAGAGTAGAAATATGATAGATAGATAGATAGATGAGAGAGAGAGAGAGAGAGAGAGAGAGAGGGAGGGAGGGAGGGAGGGAGGGAGGGGGAGATGGAGATGGATTTCTCTTCTGAGATGTAGGATCTTTTCTCCAATCAAAGTGTAATGAATATGATTACATGGCCTCCAGAGATACCATTTCAGAGATTAAAAGATTGTAATGTTGATTAATAAGAAGATGGAAAAAAGGTGGAAGAGATACTTACTATTTTCACATTCTTATTATTGGGGTATTATGATGTTATGACCCAT